TACCCAAAGGAGTTGGCTAAGGAACATAGGGCTGGAAAGGGCACAAATCCAGTCCCCTTCATTCACAGTAATCAGATTTTCAGATCCTTACACATGACTACAAGGTGCACTATCTATGACACCCAGAACATTGTACAGTATACTATATATAAAAGCAAGGGAAATTAGGGCACCGCAGTGCTCTTCCACTGCTATGACAGGGAAGTAATAGGTTAGCACAGGAGTGGACAAGATGTGGCCCACAGGCTGGATGCAGCCCACCAGGCCATTCTATCTGGCCTGCGGGAACCCTAAAAAATTTAGAAAATTAATATTTATCTGCCCCCGGCTGCCTGTAATGGGGCCTTCAATGGCTTGCCAAAACTCAGTAAGCGGCCCTCCGCCCAAAATAATTACCCACCCCTGGGTTAGCAAAAGATCCTAGAAAAAAAGACCATGCCCCATGCCACAAAGGAAGACAGCCTCCCTCCTGTGCCCCTCCTGATCCAGTCTGTGCCAATCTCACAGGAATAACTCCTTCCAAACTCTAGATTTGGCTATTGGTATAATCCTGAGCAGTAGAGCAAGACTCTCTAGCCAAGAACATCTGGGGTAAGGACCGACAGGAACATCAGCACATCTCAGGCGAAATCCCACACCTTTTACTGTGGCCAACATCAAAAACAGTTCTGGCACATTAGCACCATGTTCCACCCATCTAATTTGCGCCACTGTCAGCAGGGCATACTAGCCTGGGCAAAACACCATATAAATGCAACTATACTGTTTCCTGTACTTGTGCTAGCTTGTTCAGAACTAGCTCAGGTATCTCTGCGTGGCAATACATACCCTAATTTAGAAATGGCACCTGAACCATGGCTTGAATCCCAGATTAGGTCGCAAGTGAACACAGGTTTAGCAGTCTCATCTTACGCCCAGCACAAAATACAATCAATTTATACATGTCACAAAACCATCATACAATCTGCCACAAGACCAGCAATCTCTCAACAGGCCTAGCTAAAGCTGAAGTAAATAAGGTCAGCTGTGAGATGACAAGCAGAGCAATGTGGAGGAGACCTGCTTCTGTGATACCAGTCTGCACCATGAAGTTTTCATTTTCGTTTACACTAAATTTATTCACACACTTAAATACAAAACAAGCAATTACAAAAATTAAATGTGATTTCTAATTACTATCCAATTATACCTAGTTGAAATCTATCTTCATTTTCCTGGTGCTCTTAGCTCAGTCAAAAATCTCCACCACCTCCTTTTAGCCCTACCGCCACTGCATGCCTTCACATATAAAAATGAAAAGGCAAAACCCAGCCATTCTAAGGAATATCAACACTGCTTTATAAAACAGCCAGAAGGGGGCACTAATATCTTCGCCACAAAGAGCAATTACATCACTGTCTTTTTATTAAAAATTATTTTAAATGGCTACACTACCACTTGCCTCTAAATGAGCCAGGAAAGAGTGTTAACTATATGTTAGAAAAGCACCACATTTAAAACCATAGCCTATGTAAAAGGTTGACTTGTTAGGCAACAAATACCCTAGTGAATGAAATTTCAGTAAGGATTGCTACAAATAGACAGTTGCTATAGAGTCAGCTAGATGTCATAATATGATTAATAGGTATCAAATGACTAGAACAGTGGAAAAAGATGCTAGAGTTTGCTTCTCAAAATGTCCAGTTTCTCATGTAAAATCCTCTTAAAACTGTTTAAAAGAAAGCACTGAGTCACTTGCTTACATGAAAGGAAGCAATGCCAGCCCTGAACAAAAAAAACCCACTAACTCTCACTAGATTTTTGTTTTGTTCTGGGCTAAAATTTACAGAACTCAAGATTAAATTAACAGCAGTATTTTATTTAAATTTAACTAACCCCCATGTCCATATTGAGATAAAGCACTTAGAAAACTCACGCTGATATTAGCCTGAATTAAAATAGTAAACACTAAAGGCTCCATTCAACAAATGCTGACACACAAGAGTGTCTTTACTGCCTGAAGTCAATGGGATAACCCCTGTCAACAGGGTTACATACATACATGGTTGTACAACTAGGGCTTAAGTAAAGACTTGAGGATTGGATTTGACGTATGGTATATTAAATCAAAGGTGCCTGATATTTTGTCTCTTGAACAAAGAGTCAGCTAGTCTCCATGAAATGGAAGACTGCAGCTACCATCCCTAAAACAACAGTGGAGCAGGAAAGGTTTGTAGGATGCAAAGCTCCATCTTGATCTGTGGGGTCAAGGCACGCTCCAGCCACCAGCCATGGCCCTGAATGCTATGTTAGGTAAGGCCTGGTCCCTTCACATGGGGCTGGCCAGGGGTGACATGGTGCCCCAGACCCTGATCCCAGCATGTGGCCTGGGTAGAAGCAGCATGGACACAGGGCCTAATCCCAGTGCACTGGGTCCAATGGAGGCAGCATGGGGCCTGATCTGTGTCACTCATCTGGCCCGCAGGGCCAAAAGATTGGGCATCTATACAGGTGACTGGGGTGGGTGGAAGGGGGTACATGTAAGCATTTTAATTAGAAGCAACTCTAATTAAAACTCTGTTGCGTCACGTGTATTCAGCATACCACATTTCAAAATGGCAGTCAGAGCACTTTAACTAAAGTTTGTTTAATGAGCTTTAGTTAAAACGCCCCCACCACCATTTTGAAACATGGAATTCTGAATACGTGAGATGCTGTAGCACAATGGAGTGTTCCAATTAGTCAATTAATCGGATTAGTTCGATTAATTGAGTCTGTTCTGATGCATTCTAATCAAAACACATCAAAACACTTGTATAGGCACCCACTGTGTATCACTGGCGTAGCCTGTCTGTAGCTGCTGGCTGTGGTTCCCACTTGTTTCGTTAAGTTACAACTCTGGGTGCCATTGTGTTAATTCCAGTGACAGAGAGAATCCGTGTACCCAGCCAGTGCCCACCTAGATAACTTTTGCCTTATTTAGTGTTATCTCACTCTGGAACAAATTAGGAATACCTGCTAAAGATGGTACACAGTTGTAATGTGATTGAAGCAGCAGGCCCTTTCCATTTTAACTACAAAAAGAACAATACTGAAATTAAACTTGGTCTAATACCTGTTAAGGGACACAGCATGGCACAAGCTATGCAGGCACAGACAAAGCACTAATATTGTTATGGCTGTGGGTAAAAGTGAATTTCACTGGACCTAACAAAGTTATTTTTTATGCCTAATGTTTACTTACTGTTTATAGTATTGTTTTCCATGCAATCACAAAAAATGTTAGCTACTAAAATATTCAAGGTGACTTAACAATACATTGTGGGTACTACAATCTGGACATTCAGAAGACACTTAGAGTTGATTAATATGCTTTAATTACTTATTTCTTCCAGCTACCAGATTGAAGCTTTTTCTATAGTAAGCATTTCTGTAAATAAAAATAATTTTATAAAATCTGTGCTAATTCTGCAAAAATAAATTGCTCAGTTGCCATGATAATGCTAAGGTAAAAAGAATACTCCACCTGATATCCCAAATTGACATCTGCTATAAGTCATATTGGGTACCTATACACATGCTCTGGGGTGTCTGTGGGGGGGGAGGGGAGGCATTTTAATTAGAGCAGCTCTCAGGAGCCAGCCTAATTAAAATGCCTGCAGTGTCTCCTGTAATCAGCATCCTGCATTTCAAAATGGCAGCAAGGGCGCTTTAACTAAAGTTTGTTCAATAGCTTTAGTTAAGTGTCTCCACCACCATTTTGAAACAGGGGGACGCCAAATACACTAGATGCTCCACCAAACTCAGTTAATCAAATCTGCTCCAATGCGTTCTACTCAGAATGTGTTGAAGCACGTGTAAAAGTGCCCTTTCCTTCTAAAACTGGAAGGTGATAATATATTAGTGCAACAGTGCTTTGTTTGGCATTTCATTCTCAAAAAGAATAATGCTCCAAAGAGATGTAGTAGTTACCAGTAAGCCCCCTCCATGCTGGCTGATTACTGTAAATGGTAAGAGGCATGTTTTTACATCCAACTACTTGCTTAGACTACTTCCCTTTAAAGTACAACCCCCCACCCTGTAGCCACAATAAAATGTAAATTATGTGTTGTTAACTTCACTGTGACATACTGTATACATAAAAAGTTATTCCACATCAGAGACTTTCTGATCAGCTTTTCATAATTAAAAAACGATAAGTTTTTTTTCTGGATTTAAATAATAAAAACCTTTTCACATCTAACTGCTCAGTTTAATGTGATTATTAGTTAAAGGGCATATTTTCTTCCCGTGACCTTTGTTCATATTTTTTTTAACAGTAACACTACTGGCAATCCCAGCATTCAAAAATCATGAGTCAGACCCCAAACCATCATGATGCTGGCCCAGAAACAAAGAGAATTTAAAAAAAAGGTTTATTTTTATTTTCAGTCTGACTGTTGAGCTTTCATGTTTTCAGGCATTTCTCTACAACCATAAAGGGTAGAAATGTACTTTAAAAAAGGAGAGGAATAAAAAAAAGGGGGAGGGAGACAACAGTTGAGTTTCTCGTTTAATCACATCACTCCAGGAGCTGGGGATTTAAGGAAAACAAGATATATTTTGAGTAATTCAATACATTCACAAGAGATGACAACACTGTTTAAGCCAGAGTAACAAAAACACAAATACCTATTTATATATGTCACAAGTGGCTGGATATGTATGGTTTTAAGGGAGAATCAGTAGGCCAGACATGGTTTTCTGGCTGAGAGAAGGTTGAAAAAGGCAAAAAAGCTGCAAGAAACAGGAACCACACATTCACACATGTATATAATTTTTTTATGGATGGTGGATTACAGCAAAGATCAAAGATACAATGTTTTCATTCATTACATAGTCCTTTAGCAAGTGAATACATTTTGACCGAAAGTAAACCTAAAACCCACTCACCTAAAACACAGCATCCTACACAAGACACAGGAGACATGGGAAGTAATGCAATTTTTCTGACAGTGGTTTATAAAGCATTATATTCTCACCTTATTTACAATGCATTTCTCTTCAGTGAAAATGAAAATAATGATGGATCACTGTCCAGTGGGGGTCAAAAAGAAATTCACAGCTTGTATTGCTTGCCCATCTGAGTTGGCTTGCAATGTGACTGGTGATCCAAAAGTGGAAGACATAGAAAACAAAATAAAGGAGGGAGAAATAGTTAACTACTAACCAATTTTGCATGTACTGGCCTTAAAATTGTTAGAAGATTCCTGTTAAGCAACTGCTTTTTGTAATATGCAAGTACAAACCAACTGAAAATTCATTTCCTCATCCCAGCTCCTTTATTCAGGCTGAAAGATCATGGTAATAAGTTTAGGAATCATAACTCTTTCGTGACATTTTATTTGAGGTGGGACATTACCTTAAAAAAGAACATTTTAAGAACATTATCCAGATAAAAAACATACTAGATGCCTAGCTCTCATTATTAGATTTGGCAGCATTTCCCTGGAATTCTGGAGTTCAAGACATTATACTGCAAACTCCTAGATAATGCAAACAAAGATGTGCACTATCGCTGCAATTTTATTTATTCATTAAAAATTATGAAGAGCCACATTCAAATTTCTGCTGGCACTGCATATTAAACAAAATATGTTTTGTTTTTTCACTTGGAACCTCACCAAATGTTTTGTCACTCTTGAGACAATAACAGAATTTAGTCAAACCATTTCTCCTGTGCATTCTTGTGTTTGAGTTTACAAAGACATCTATGGTCACCTCTCCACGCACTTGCACAAATGTCATGCTTAACTTTAAGCAGGTCATTATGTCTAACCTTATGCAGCAGGGCATTTAATAGGATTTAAGAACATTCTTAAGTGAATTTCCATACCAAGCCCAATAACACATCCATATATACAGATGTGCCTATGTTATCAGTGGCATAAAGAAACTCATTGAGCACATGGGGCTGGGGGTTTGGGGAGGAGGGAAGAACACCACTCTGCTCACCCCACTCTTCCCTGCCCACCACATGTACTCTTTGGTGCAGTACTGCCCTGCCCAGCAAAGGCTCCCAGCTTGGGGGGAGACAGAGGGGGGAATACTGCTGCCCCCTCATTGTTGGCACCTAGGACAGGTGCCATCCTACAACCATGTATGTTATAAAACACACCACCTCTGCACATTATAGTTATGGGAGAACATACAGTGAAGTAGTATCCTAAGAACATATACACTGATCACAAGAAGAAACTGCACCGATTTGTCCAGTTATTGTCCAGACATCTGTTCAAAGAGATACTAAAATTTAAACATTTTATACAGTAATATCAGCTGAGTCAAATCACCTTAAACTTATCCTATTTTTTTTTTTTAAGAAAAATGTATTTTTTTAGCGTTGTGAATATTACATCAGACCCCAAAATATAACATGCAGGTTCTCCATGTCCAAAGATAAATAAAATATGCCTTGCTTAAAATTATGCAAAACATAACATGACAATATTGACTTGTTCACTTCATTTTAGTTTTAAAAGCTTAAGCTATTGAATTTCTTATGTACAACCTTCCCTAGCACGCAGCACATTTCTTTCATCTGAAAACACTTACCTGTGCTAAGCCTGCCACACTTCTTTTTGTCATGCTTATTATATTTGGACTTGCTAAAGCAGCAGGCCCCATTTCAATTTGTTCTCTGAACTGATTTAAGTTGTACGTACTGTACCTGAACAGTCTTCCACACAGCTAATCTCTCAAAACCAGCTGAGAGTACAGTCAGCTGAGAGCCATCCCTGGTTAGACTTTTCTGAAAATATGTCTCAGAATGTGTTCTCTCTCATACCAAACGTGTGCAGTAAACACTTCAGACCCCATATGCAAGGTTAAGATGTTTTTGAAACCAAGCTACACTTCTTGATTACATTTTCCTATTAGTAAACCAGAACAAAAGCAGTGTACTATATGAAGAATGACAACACTGAGACAAGCCCCTTTTGAAGTGAAGGAGAATTTAAGCCACTGCACTTCAGTGCGAGCAGGATTAGGCCTGATTTTGTTTCACTAGTTATATTACTAACACAATTATTTTTTATATTTCAGTGTTCAAATGCCCATTTTTTTAAACTAGGATGAAACCAGGCCACTGAATAGGTTACATAAAGATTTTCTTTTTCTTAGAGCAAAGGAAACTTCAGGCCTGTTATAAAATATCCTGTAAAATAAGGCCATTTTTGTCAAGCTTTTATAATGAATTCGGGGGGGGCGGGGCGTGACAGACTGCTTTTCAGAAGTCTCACTTATGCATACACAGCATTTTTAAACCATATTTACACTTTCCATGCTATGCGCCACATTATAAACAACTTGTCATAAGACACAATATGTATAAAGAGCATGATGCAGTACAAAGGATCATTCTGTCAGAGTTACTTTGTGTGGCTGTTTCTGTTTCTCCAGGCCCGTGGTTCCTCATCTGCACTTACAGTTTCAAGCAGTCTCCTCCATACCCAGGCTGAAAGTGGCTGCACAGCTGAGGAGATGAACACCCCTGCTTTATAAACAACATAGCCAAGTCAGTCGGGGCACTGAAAAGTTTGCACGTAAGTGCGAGAAACTGTTTATGAACCCCCCGATGAGCACCAAGGGCTCTGCTTGGCAGACAGACAGAAACCTGTGGGCTCAGTTACACTGCACCTGGGATTATAAACTGACAGGCACTGCCAGCTTTGAGCCAGAGACAGACAGTACTCATTACTTTCTCCAGCCCCTCACTTCAACACCAGAACTATTAAAAAAGCTATTTTAGGTTCGGGATATCATTTAGACTCAAGCAGTTAAGAACTTGGTCCAGGAAGGTGCTGAGTCCTGAACAATTGAGAGCCCTGGCTGATTGACAGCTTTCTGGATCAAACTATTAAAGCTACAGGGCCAAGTTCATCCATAAGCATAAATGTTTGAAACACTATTATCTTGAATAGAGATACTAACCACTTATGGCAGTGATAAATATAGCTTCTTGGGCAGAGATCTGAAGTCTTTACTCACAGAAAACTCCTATTCAAGTCCATAAGAATTTTACCTAAGAAATGTATGAAGATTTACATACACAATGGACCAGACTCTGGGCTCCCTAATTGTGGTGTAAGTCTCAAATAGCTCCAATACATGGAGTTACTCTGGATACAGTCCCATGTAAAGAAGCTCATAAATCAGCCCACTGGAGTCACTTCAGTTGACACCAATTACACAGTGAGCCAAATATAGGCTACTGATTAAAAACAGGGGTTTCTGTTTGTTTTTTTTCTCTGAAGACTGGCTTAATAGAGTGGCTTCCAAATCTGAGACTGAACATACATGTATATATAAATACATACAAATATATTTCTCCATGAGTATGTTATGAAATGGCAGTATGCAATTTGAAGGCACTTAAAGCGTACATTCACAATTAAAGCAGCATTATAAATTTAGTAGCCAAAGGCCTTCATTCATATGTTACGATAAAACAAAACTGAGAAGAGTATGAAAACAGAAACAAGAGATTAATATAAAAAAAAAGAACCAACCTGTAATGAGAAGGTCTCTGATAAAAGAGCTATTCCTCCTAACGTTTTACAAAGTGAAATTGGAAATTCAATGACTAAGTAAAACACATGAAGGCCCCAATCTTGCTAAGAATTACGAACATGCTTATAACAACGTGTTCTTTTAGGTAAGTGATAATGCTGATGCCAGTTACCCATCACTTTCGTTCTGCTAGTCAGAGCACGTAAAGTTAGGCACACGGTTTGGGGCCTAAGCTGTTAGCCCTCAGACCTGTGATATCTTTCATGCACAATTTCAGCCTTCACATGGTTAAACACCTAGCCCACTAAAAAGATTAGACTGGGGACTAAACATTTAGATAAGCCTGAAAAAAAGTTTAGAAGGAGTAGCAAACATTTGTTGATTCACAAACAATAAACACTAGAGTAATTTCCCTGACTAGGTCAATATATTTGCATACTGTGCACAAATGTAAAAACTGCCTGATGCTGTAGCACTCGAGGAGCATCTTTCATATACTCAGTGGTCAGGAAATGATTACAATATGCTGAAACATTCTGCAAGAAGACAGAGCAGTCAGCTATGCAGGCTGCACAACATAAATACAGTACATACACCGCTTGAGGTAGCCTAGTCACAAGACAAACACACCTGAATGGACGATGAATACTGTCTGTTACCATGGCAGCCTGATCTAATTACATGACTGATCAGGGCTAGAGTAAGTGCACTGAAAACCTACACCACTGACATGTATCTACATGATGACAGAGAGACAGACAGACAAGAGCTGAAGAAAACCTATCAACCTTTGCCTTACATAAATGGCGATAATAAAGCCAGCCTTTTATGAGAATTCCTGCCTGTAAAATATTGGACCATTTTTTATTTTATTTATATATATGTATGTATGTATGTATGTTTGGGGACAATAAGACAAAACTGTAAGCTGCTCTAAGAAGACACCTTGCTGCATCTCAAAAAAAAAAAAAAAAAAAGAAAGAAAAAGCTACGGCATATTTTTTTTCTCTCACCCTCAATTTTTTCTCCCTCATTCATAATCCTTTTTCCAGGGTATAAAAACTGTACTGTCTTCACCGTCCAAAGCAACATAACTACATTAACATGCTATCTGAATTTTGCAGTAGCTGAAGGTCTGGGTTGGAAACTGAAATGAAAAGCCCTCGACTTACCTAATATATAATCAAAGTAACCGGCTATGTCAGACCACGTCTGACATGCAGCTAACCCCTGCTGCATAAAATAGATAGCAGTGATCGTTACGTTTTAAGGAGAACCTGCATGACGACATATGGATGTCTTCATGCCACCAAATATAAAAAGGCTTTGGAGAACTAAGGTCATCTGCCTCCCCCATTTCTTATTTGCTCATAAAGGGCAGACAGAAGGGACAGTGGTTTTTTTACATTGCATTTCTGAACCGAGCGTTGATCAGGCTTCCCTTTTTAATTTTTTTTCCTGATTAT